GTAATGTATGCTTTACGCATGCGCGCATTGAAAGAAATGTTTGATAAAGTAAACAAATAAATATAAAGCTCTTTTTATAAATTTCGATACTCTTTAGATCATAATTGCTCTTTATTTCATAAATTACGGTTTCATATTTTTAATTTTATAATTTCTTTATGCTGTCTTACCAGATTTAAACTGATGGTCTATAATCTGGAAAAACCGATAATCCGGAATCGCCGAAGTCCCTACGAGTCCGGATTTAAGACTTCTGACTGTAGTTTCATGAGGCCAGCTGCAGGTTGCTAGTGATGCCTCTAATAAGAACCTTGACTGCTTAAGAGAGCAGCTTATGCTTTGCAGCTGTTCTCTAAATTAAATTGAATGATGTAAATATATGCCAATATAAAAATCGCTTAAAAGTAATCTAAATCATTATTTTTTTACCCCCCTGAAGTGTCTTTGAATTTTGCATATAAAAGTGTGGCACTGCTTGTGTTTAATTTATTAAAGTATACTGAGTATTTTCTTGATTTTTACTGAATGGGGGAGTATATGATTTGCTATATTTATTTGTATTGAAATATTCTACTGGGCATTGATCTTTGAATAAAATTATGACTGTTTATTTATTCAACTTCATCAAGATGGAAATGAATAATGACCTTAAATTTGCATTTACAGAGGCTTCCACCACCCGTGGTAGGATAAAGGTGTTAATAATTAAGCTCTTCGGTTAAAGAGAATTTTTTTAACCTATTAAATTTATTTTCAAGCCTTCCCACCAAAACTGTGTCCAAATGTGTTTCCGTAAAATTTTCTACTTTATTTAAGAACCTGTCCTTTAGAAATACATGTCTGAAATCAGTATTTAACCCTTTGACATGCGTGATATTATTTTTATGATTTTTTTAACTAAAAACTCTAGAAATTGAATATTATGATCCTAGAGACAAATAATATATAAATTTAGAAAAATCTACTCTTGTCCATTGTTTTGTGGGTGGTGGTCGCACTGTGAAACCACCGCACGTCTAGGACTTTGAAACATACCTAGGTAGTAAGGGAAAAAAATTACCTTTTTCCGTGCGCGTTTCCAATAAATGACGAAATTTACGAATTAAAAAAAAAAATGCATGTAAGAATTGCATAATATATTTTTTTACATTATTTTGCAAACTAAATCATCAGAAAAAATTAAAAAATAAACATTTATGTAATTTTTCTATAGCCGTGAAAGTATAAGTACCTACATAATAAGAACGTTTGGCTACATGGATTAAAAACTCAGTAAAATGGGGGGGGGAGAGACTTTTTTTTTTTTTAAATTTCAAAGAACAAATATTTTTGGTGACACTGTTCAAAGCATGTTCTGTCTTTTTGGTACATGCATAGACCCACATTGCACGTTTCGCACATGTATCTTCTTCTATGATGTTTCTTCCTTGTGCTGCAAAATGTACACTGATTGGATCTAAATTTCACTGGTGTATGTCCAGCGTTATTTAGTTTCTTTTCATCTGGCACATGAAATTTGTGGTTTTTTTATGTTAATGGCTTGGTATGTTAATGGCTTGGTCTTTTTGGCTTTGGTACGGATCATTCATTTCCCATTCCTACTTATTTTATTCGTATTTCATCTCAAAATATTTAGAAAATATTTTTAATTTAAATAAAACTTTATGCGATTTCTATTTTTAATTACAGCAAAGTATATTTACATTAAATTTAAACCACAGGAAATAATTTATAAAATCACAATACTAGCTTGGGAAGCAAGTGTGTTGAGGTCAGAGGAAAGTCTCTGGAAAAGAAATTCCTTTTTACTGGGCAGATGCATGCATTGTTTAGTGATAAAATAACTCTGTGATTTCAAAACCCCTTCTCTATATCCGGGTAAAAATAAACATTCCTATTTGAGAAGCAAGCAAACGCCATTGTGAAGAGCAGTGGTTTCAAGGTGCAACCACCGAGCATTGAGATAATGCTCTAGTAGGGAGTGGTCGCGCCCTGAAACCACAAACCAAATGCCATACATGTAGAGGTTTTTTTAATGTATGCAGTTTAATTATTGTTATTTTTTATTGTTTATGATAGAAATCATGATGTGCGATGAATAACTTTTGAAATTTGAAGTTATTATATTAATAAAAGGAAGTTATTTTGTCTCATTGAAAACAAATTTTAAAAGGCATGCGATTTGAAGTACTAAGACCTAAAACATGTATGAATCTGTAGTCATTTTGTGTTATTTAGAGGTAAAAGATCAGTAATCAATTGATTTTCACTCAAAAATGTCGGAAGGAAGAGGAGAAAAAAATTCGAAAATTGGTGGTTTCAAGGCGCGACCAACACGCGTCAAAGGGTTTTAAGAAAATGAAGCCTGTAAGTGATACATTTTTAAACACCCTGTATAATATATTAATGATGTATGCAATGTTGCCTGAAAAGTTTTAACTAAAGTAGCAGGACTGCAGGAGAAGAAAATTTAGAATTTAAAAGTATCATATGACATCAAAGGTTATATGATTTTTGTGACATAGGTTCATAAGGTCACATAACCTTTGGTGTAATAACAAATTCCATTTCTGTGGGTTCTGTGAATTACAGACTGTAATTGGATTCCTTGTCATTTTATTACAAATATTAATTTTGATGAAAATCTTAAAACCATACTGCTAGTTTTCTGTTGCTTTAAATCTCAATTTCTTTTAATTAATCTGCAGTTAATTCAGGCTGTTATTCTTCAGTTAATTTGTTCATATCCATTGTTGGGTGCTTCTTCTTTCGATTGTTAATTTTGTTGTGTTAATTGTTTTGAGTTGACTAACATCCGATTAAACTAGCTTCCGATTGGCATCCGATTTGAAGTACTAAGACCTAAAACATGTGGGATTCTGCAGTCATTTTGTGTTATTTAGTGGTAAAAGATCAGTAATCATTCGATTTTCACTCAAAAATTTCGGAAAGAAGAGAAAAAAAAAATCGAAAATTATGTAAAAAAAAACCCCTCTTTATGTATGGCATTTTCTTTGTGGTTTCAGGGCGCGACCACTGCCTCACTAGAGCACGCCTTGAAAACACTGCTCTTCACAATGGCATTAGCTTCCTTTTCCAGAGACTTTTCTCTGCTCTTAACACACTTGCTCCCCAAGCTGGTATTGTGATTTAATAAATTATTTCCTGTGGTTTAAACTTAATGTAAATATACTTTGCTATTATTAAAAATAGCAATCGCTTAAAATTTGATTTAAATTAAAAATATTTTCTGAATATTTTATGACAAAATACAAATAAAATAAGTATGAATGGGAGACAAATGATCCGTACCAAAGCCAAAAAGACCAAGCTCGCCCCTCCCCATTAACATAAAAAAACCACAAGTTTCATGTGCTGGATGAAAAGAAACTAAATAACGCCGGACATATACCAGTGAAATTTAGATCCAGGCAGTGTACATTTTGTAGCACAAAGAAGAAACCTCATAGAAGATGTATGTGTGAAACGTGCAGTGTGGGGGTGTATGCATATACCAAAAAGACAAAACATGCTTTAACAATTTGACTGCTAAGCAATTATTGCAAGAACACGCAAAAACTCCGGGTTTTATTTGACTTGATGTTGTCAAATAAAACACTCTTGTTTAGACAAATATCAATCAATTTCAATAATTCTTCTCGTATTATAAAGCAACAAAGACACACTGAAACTCACAGCTCAAAAGCGCTGCGTTGCGGTTTTCGAGACAAATAAACGTAGCAGTCAAACGTTTAAACAGTGTCACACACAAAAAAAAAATTTTCCTTGAAATAAAAAAACTTTTTTTTATCCTCGTTTTACTGAGTTTTTTTTTTTTTTTTTATCCATTTAGCCAAACGTCCTTATTATGTAGGTACTTATATATTCACTGCTACAGAAAAATTACATAAACGTTTATTTTTTAATTTTTTCTGATGATTTACTTTGTAAAATAATGTAAAAAAATTATATATAATGCAATTCTTACATACATTTTTTTTTAAATTCGTAAATTCCGTCATTTATTGGAAACGTGCATGGAGAAAGGTAAGCTTATCCTCTACTACCTCAGTAAGTTTCCAAGTCCTAGATGTGCGGTGGTTTCACAGTGCAACCACCACTCACAGAACAATGGGAAAGCGTAGATTTTTTTAAATTCATATATTCTTTGTCTCTATGATCATAATATTCAAGTTCTACAGTTTTTAGTTAAAAAAATATTAAAAATAGTATCGCATGCGTCAAAGGTTTAACCAACTTATTATCATGTTGGACCTGGGGGAAACTGATTTAAACACAAAACTTGGAAAGCCCTGCCCCCAAAAATGTATGAGTATTGAGGTGCATAATTTTATTTTACATTCTTTTCATAATATTTTCCCCCATCTGTTACTATTATTTTTATGGAATATACCCTTCTATTGGTAGTATAATACTGTCTTTGGTCTATGATTTCAAAGAAAAAATTTTAAATTACCATTTGCACAAAGTGTACATATTAAAAAACAAAGCAATCAATCAAACATGTGAAAATACCGGTAAGTAGCATTTAAAACTGAGTGCTGGTACTATGCTTGCAGAATTGCCTATTACTAACTTAAGCTGAAATAAGTTATTTTTTTGTATTGACTTATTTTCATAGTATTTTAACATGTATGCATTTTACCCTGTATGAAAATATTTTTCAGTAGCTCAAAGAAATGATGCAGTAGCAGAAAATTTGCAGAATTGTGTAGACAGATTTGTAGTGCAAGTTTGTCAAGAGTAGCTAATTCGGTAAAAATCGCAATAAAATTTTATACCTTTAAGATACAGCGTATAGATGAACAATAGGTAAATTTCCGACAAAGTATACTTCAAGGATTCTCTTTCAGCCCTTACCAAAATATATTATGATTTAAATCTGCATGTATTTCAATGACATACTCCTTCAAAAACTGTTAACGTTGGGTTCTTTTTTGAAACAAATTGCTGACATTATGTTTTTGTTTTCTTCCTAGGTAAAACACATAATGCTGCAACAGCTGTACAAAATATAGACAAAGAATTGAAATGTGCTATGGAGAATGACAAGGAACTTGCAGTGCCAAAAAAGAGTGAAGCTAATAGTATTGACAATGAGTGTGATCCTGATGTCTTATATTGTGGATGTGTTTCTGCAAGTAATTCTGCAAAAACCTACAAAAGAATTAGAAAAAGCGCTGAGAAAATGACGAATAATTTTAAAGACAGTGAAGTTAAAGAAACAAGCGACACCGAGGAGCCCAAGATTATATTTGAAAAATTTTGGAAAAGTGAATCAGCTGCATCTTCATCTCGTCCAAATACAGAAGACTACATTAACATCACTAAGAAAAGATTTGATGATCCACACTGTAATGAGAAGCATGTTGAAGCAAACAATGTACAAAATGATACATTAAATACTGCATCTGTTTCTGTAGAAAGTAAGTTGTAATGGTTTGTGCTTTGTATATGTAGCTATTACATGAAATTAGGTCCTCTTTAAATTAAATGAAATTAGATCAATCATGATTTGTTAAGTTCAAAAGAGAGTACAGTCAAATACTGAAAATCCGCCAACTTCTAAAGTCTCCATTGCCTCTCAAAATATAAACATTCAGCTTATAGGTTCCGGAAACTGCAACATTGCGTACGAAATATCGAAGAAAAAGTACCGAATAATGACGTCATAATTACCGAATAATAATGAGTCTTAACAAAAATACCAAATTATTGACATCGTGATAAAAGTCGAGGTAAGAAAGCAGACGATTCACTCAACTCTTTCAAGTTCACGATTCACGTTATCTTATTTTCTGAGCTTTGTTATTTTACGAGATTATTTAGTGCTGCCTTTTTTTAACCGGATATTTTGTGGATAAATTAAGAATATTTTAAATTTCAGCCCTTTTTATACAATTATAGATAAGAAACACACTCATGATTTTACTACTTGACACGTTGAAAAATGTAAACACGTTGCATTAACGTTAATGCAAAAAGTGCAAATTCTGCAAAAGATTGAGACAGGTGCATTTTACAGCAGAATCGTATGGAATTGTGATACAATTGTGTATGATATACGGACAAATAAAGGAAAGCTGTTAAAATTTGAAGCAACAGTGATTCTAACACCGGAATCCGAAACCGAAAATCTTTGCATGAGGTGAAATTGGCAAACTTCGATGCTGTGTATATATAATACAATGAATAATATAATCAATTTATATATGTAATAATAATTTAACACGTATAATAAGTTATTGCAATATTGTATATAATTATTTAATTAAATGTATCTAATACGCCTTATTTATTTTGCACTTTTAGTCTGAATATTATGATTTATCTTTTCTGTCCTGAAATCCGCAAAATCCTAAAATCCGCACAACCTCTAGTCCCAAGCTTTGCGGATTTCTGGACTTCTACTGTACTATTCTGATATGTTAGTGCTGGAAAGAAAATATGCGTGACTAAAATTTTATAAATAATAATAAAGAAGTTTTCATAAGATTTTTATTTAATGCTCATAATTAATTAATTAAGAGAAGAAAATAATTTATCATATAGTTGAACGGAGACAAGAGAATTATTTAATCTTTGGTTCCCATTAAACTGCATGACAAATTATTTTTCTTCTTTTCGATCATAATTTTATGAAATTTAAATAAAAGCTTATTTTATAAATTTTTGTCCTTTTAATCTCAATGACAGATTAACAATTGCCGTATTTTACAGACTATAAGATGCACTTTTTTTTTCCAAAAAATTGCCTCCAAAATTCAGGTGCGTCTTATACTCAAAATTAATATAAAAATGTCCAGTGTTTGATTTAAAATTCCCGCTGCTCTTAAAAAGGGCCATATATTTGATGCTGCAAAGAACCTATCTGTATCTGGCAACATTGGATTCAACTGGCAGCACTGTCTAGAGAGAGAGAAGGTATTATTGTTAAATAGTTCAAGAAGTGTTGCATAATGTCCGTTTCACATTATGTTTTGGCTAGGCGGACTGAACGTCGAATGGGACATTTCTTGGAGCCCCCTGCATTTCTGGAAAAACGTACGTAACTAGGTTACAATTTTCACTTACTAAACAGACCCTGAATGCTAAAGTAATCGATTATTGCTCAGATTGGCAAAAGAGACTTTTGTTTTCAAATTCCATTCTGTGTCGCTGTTACGGAAGCATTTCAGTAATTTCTTTTTGACATTTTAAACTTCTTTGCTATTATTTAAGATAATAGAAAGGTGGTGGCTATTAAGTTGATCACTTTGATCTCGACACTGGCGATTCTGAAAGCTAAAGAGAAGGAACTTTAATTTTACTGCCTTTTGAAATCAGGAAGGATGTCTAATGAAAAAGTACCCTGAAATTTCTTAAGTAAATACATGCCAAATCATTAATGAGTTGTGCACTGTATGTTTAAATGACCAAATATTATACATACTGTTAAATTAAGCATAGTTGTTAAATTTCTTGTATTCTGTGTAAATCATACATATGATATAGTGAAGTTTTTCATTGTGATTACAATGCTCCAATCATCAATCAATTAACGGATGGCGAAATCTGTAGTGTGGTTCTAGATCCAGAAAATACCGCTACCAATAGTCAAGAAAGTGACAGAGAGGTTATTGAAAACGGAAAAATTTTGATTGACAGGTGAGTCGGAATTCTTGACCCAGTAATTACAAGACTTGGAACAGTGGAACTTTGCAACTGAAAATGGAATTATATGTGTCTATAGAATTAAAGAGAAAATATTGGCACAAAAAACAAAGCTACTTAAAGAACTTAGTTTGAAAGAATTGTTTAATAAAGTAAACATTTAAATGTTAAGCTCTTTTTTTTTTTTTTTTGGTAAATTTCAATCATAAATACTTCATTATTTTATAAATCTTGATTTCATATTTTTAATTTCTACATGTGGCCTTACTAGATTTAAACTGATGATTTTATATCTGGAAAACTCGCAAATCCGGCATAGCCAAAGTCCCGACGAGTCTGGTCCAGATCTCGGACTTTGTACTGTACATTTCATGGACCATTCTGTTCCTACTAGCAATTTATCTCTTAATGTTTGTTGGTATGCATAATTGAGACTCGAATTTGAATACTTCAAGAGTTAAAAAAGATGTGGCACTTTCCTGGAATTTAGTCTCCTCTTCCCCAGAAAAGTAAGCTAAACTAGTAACTATTTAAAGAAATGCTGAGAAACCAAAAAAGTAACAATCTTTATAACAGCATGTACTGAAACATAAATTAACATTCAATAAATTAAAAAGCAGCATGATTCTTCATTAATGAAACTGTTTCAAATTTGTGTATGAATATATGTATGTATATCATGTAAATATTCTGAATTATTTGAAGTTTTGTCACATTTCTACTCCGACATAGTTTTTAGAATTTTATAAATGGCATCAGAATCACCCCTTTTAATGGCTGCATTATTTTATAATGATAATAATTTATGAGCCTTTCCTTGAATTCCTTTGTAGGTACGTATAATTTTGATCTTGAATATTTGTCAAGCTCTGCTATTCCTTCATATCAGCCAGGTGCTGCAAGCTCAAACCACTCTTGTAGTGTTCAACCCCTGGATGAAAATTCAGTTGAGGTAAGATTGGTGCAGAATTTTAAATTCTATAGAATAAAAATAAATATGAATGTACTTAACTTATTATTTTTGTAGGTGATTCAAAGCTCTACAAATGCAATGACAGAAAACACACAAGATTTTAATGGAGGCACTACTGGAAGTTGCATTTTGGATCAAGGCGAAAGAGATAAGTTTCCATTTAACTTTTCTCATCCCACGGAAACACATTTGTAAGTCCTTTTAGCTTTATTGTGGTTTTCTTTTATTTGTATTTGACTTTTGTTAATGTACTTCTCTGTCATAGTGTAAAATGTTTATCTTGTCTGGATTATGCATTTATTGACTCATTTAATTTAAGGGGAAATAATTTATTTTTTCTCCTTAAACTTACTTGTTTGTTTAGAGAAACTAAGCGCAGTTCTCTCTGAAGGTATCATGTAGATATGCATTTTAAAACTATATTCTGCTAGTAGTTAGTTGATGGATCATTAGCTGACAGTATAAATAAAATAATCTTACGGTATATATCATTATTTAGCATATTTGAATGATTGTGTGAAACAGTAAAAGTATATGATGAAAAATTCTTGTATTCATTAACTAAGAGCAAAATTATAATGTATTTGCTGAAATTAAAAACTAATGTAAGCTTGAAGGATGTGACTTGTGTTAGTTCTTAAAACACGACTCCATATCACTAAACAATCTATTTATACAACTATTCATTAAATTGATGAAGCTTTCAGCACTTCAAAGTAAAGGCAATATGTGTCACTCTGGCATCTATTATGAAACAACGTGACTTTAGCTAAAGGCGTGTACAGCCAGCAACCATAGAGTATCCCCATAGTGACTCAGTCATAACACAAAAGGGGTTGATTGCAAGATTTCAATTTAAAATATACACATTGCAATAAGTTATGCTTTAAAATGTACATATAAAATAAAATACAAGGTAAATAAAAATAATGAAAGATTAATAAAATAAGAATTTTAAGCAATTCCAAAACATGTGCAAAAGAAATTAATCTAAGTATCCATATACTATAAATTTTGTAGCAGACCAACAAGAGAAAATGTATTCAATTCTATTACAGTGATTAGTTTTTAGGAAAAATGAACATGACGTACACTGTAAGTAATTATTTGTTTTGGAGCAACTAAGAATTTTTTATGTGGATTCGGAGGAATGACAGCTGTATCTATACATTCCGACAACATATACACTGGTTTTAGGTGATCCATTGAAAGTAATGTTTTTGTTATTTACCTCAATAATGAAATTTTTGTCCATTTGTTTAACAATGGCATGAGGTCCAGTGTAAGGTGGTGGTAGAGGGTTAATAGAATCGATCCATAGAAATACATGAGAACAGAGCAGGAGTGCCTTGTGTACATGAATTGATGGTTGAACATGCTTAGAAGTTGGAACCGGTCTAACTGAATGAATGATTGATTGAAGCTGTGAAACATAAGCTTCAAGAGGTATGGAATTAGTAACAATCAGCATATCTGAGGGTGATCTAAGTGTGGTACTGTAAACAAGTAGCGTTTACATCTTTCTTAGTGGCAGATCTGATATCCAACAAAACTATATTCAGAATTCAGTCCATTTTGGGTTATGAGCCATTATTGCATTTTTAAGCTGGCTATGAAATCTCAATCAGCCCATTGGATTGAGAATGGTTAAGCAGCAGTTCGAATGCAATGTGTACCAAAATCTTCATTAAATTCTTAAATAAATGAGATTCAAAATTTGGGCCTTGATCAATTGTTATAGATACGGGACAGCCAAATCCAGTTATGTACTAACACTTTACGTGTAGTTTGAGGCGACATGTTGGCAGTAGGTATAACTTCTGGCCATCTGTTAAAGTGATCAATAATTGTCATGCAATAACCATTACCTTCAGACGGTGGAAGAGGACCTATGAAATCAATATGGATATGTGCAAATCTTGTATCAGGCAAGGAAAAGGTAACCGAGGGTTATTTTGAATATCTATGAATATTAGAACTATGAATATCTAGAATATGAATATTAGAAATGAATATTAGAACGTTGACATTATAGGCAGGATTGAATGGCAGTTTTAATAAATTTTTTCATATTAGGCCAAAAATATTGCTTAGTAATTTTATTGAAGCTGCAATACAGGTACGAGGAAGACAGTGAATCTACTGAAAAAGTGTTAAGAGCTTAAAAGAATTAGGAATGAACTGACAAGGTGTACCTGTGTTCATATTACAGTAAAGAGTAACATCTTCCAAGGGAAAAAATGTTTCTCTAATTTAAAAATTGGTGAAGACAGAGAGGAATTTTGAATTTCAGAGTCCTAAAGTTGTGCTTTGGGTAGCTTTTAATAATCAATATGTTGATTATCAGATACCTCATCTATTTCTGCCAATGGATAAGGCATCAGCAGCAATGTTGTCATGACCTTTGATGTATCATTAATCAGTAAAAAATTGGCCAATAAAATCAAGATGACGAAGTTGTCATGGAGAACATTTTTCAGGCTTTTGCTTAAAAGTATATATTAGTGGCTTTTGATCTGCTTACATTGTAAAGGCCCTGCCTTCCAGCATATGCCAAAACTTCTTGATTGACAAATAGTTCTCAATCGTATGTTGACCATTTCCTTTGACTTTTGCTGAGTTGAACGAATAGAAATGCAATGGGTTCCCAAATGCAACTGTGTGAATGAGCTGCCAACTGCAATGTCTGATGCATCAATACAAAGTTTCAAAGTAGCATGAGGAACTCTGTGTCTAAGAAATGTTGAATCAGCGATTGCCTTTTTTGCATTGACGAAAGCTTTCTCTGCTTTGTCGTCTCGTTCGAGAGAGTATTCTTTTATTTTGCTTGGTTATGAAGGTTTCTTGATTGCCTTTTTTGCATTGACGAAAGCTTTCTCTGCTTTGTCGTCTCATTCGAGAGAGTATTCTTTTATTTTGCTTGGTTATGAAGGTTTCTTTTTATTAATGCAACCTTCCAGTAACCTATTTAAGGGAACTAAAGCATGCAAAGCTTGGGACAAAATGTCTCTAAAAGTTAAAAATGCCAAGAAATTTCCTCAACTGAGTTAAGCGTTTGGTTTGGGAAAATTTTGAATGGCTTCCACTTTTTGGTTAAAGGTCTGTTCAGATACATGAAATCTCCAAAGATGTTAAACCAAAAATGCTTTTAGGTACATTCATTCTTAACCCATAATTACTTAATCTTTCAAAAAGAGCTCTGAAGTATATCAAATATAATCAATATTTCGTCAATAAAAGTAGATACTCCTGGCAACTCGCGAGTTATTTCATCAATGAACTGTTGAAAGGTTGCAGCTGCGTTGCATAGCCCAAATTGCATTCTTGTGCTCTCAAAAAGTCTGAAAGCAGTGACAATAGCCATTTTATGGATATTAGAAGTATTAATTGGAATTTGATGATAGCCTTTTACCAAGTCTATTAGAGAAAATACTTTTGCTCCATACAACTCTGGTGCAAAATCACAAATGTTGGGAATGGAATAACGCCCTGTAATGGCAGCTTTCAGGTCTTCATAAGAAGAATCCGTGTTCTCCCGAAGTATGATTTCTCAAACCAAAGAAGCAATATCCAGTGGCAAATGAGTGATGCAATAATTAAATTTTGTTTTGGAATTCATAATAGGCTTTTGGTATGGCTAAAGCCAAAGTTGATTCACACATGGTAAACCACAGTGCAGGATCAATAGGATTGTTAATCAGTATCTTTACAGCTGCTATTTCCTGCATGCTTGTGGTTTTAGTGAAGAAAACAAAAGTCCTGAAACAACCAAGCTTTTAACAAATAACCAATCTGAAGCTTCATGCGAGTAGAAGGGTCACCACTGTAAGCATGAAGGGTGTGACTTGTGTTAGTTCTTACAGCACATGACTCCATGTCGCTTAACAATCACTTTTTTTACACAACTTTTCATATTGTGAGTCCTCAGCTGTGGTCCCAAAAACGAATGGAATGGATGAGAGAAAGGGAAAGGCACCTGGTCTATGGGAATATAAAACATTTACAGTAAAGCTCTCTGAAAAGCCAGAGTTTCGAGCATGTGAAGGAATACAAATTTCATAACACTGTAGAATACAGTATATATATAGACCAACAATTTGTTTCTGTTGCAGCGCTTCAGGCGATTATACGAGTATGTGAACGTATAATGAAACCATTGGTAAAACGGCATTTGTTAATGACAAAACCAGTTTATTGGATGACTAATAAGAAAGCTTGAGTCACTGCCATAGCTTTCAATAAATGGCTTCATAACATGTTTGTCACAGATGTCAAAAATTATTTAATTAGAAAGGTTGCTTTTTAAGGCTGTTCTATTAATTGATAATGCACCTGGTAATCCTCAAGATTTACAACACGAAAATGTAGAAGTTGTGTTTTTACCAAAGAATACAACTTCCTTATTGCAGCTGTTAAATCAAGGAATAATTTCGACTTTTAAGGCACTGTATATCACACATACCTTCAGGTATATTTTAGAACAAATGGAGATTGATGAATCTCTTACTTTTATGGATGAATGAAGCTTCTACACCATACTCAACCCTTTTAGAACTCTGAAGTAAGGGCAATGTGTGTCGTCAGCTGGTCGCACTGACAGCTATTACGAAACAGCATGACGTCAGCTGGAGGCACATGCAGCCGATAGCCACACTACTTTATATTAAAAGTGGTGATTTTTTATAAATATATAGTAAATCAAACCTTTGTCCCAGCCTTTGGACTTTGATTAGAGCAACTTCAGAACCTTTCTTAGATTTTTTAATATTTATTTTTCATGTGGTAATTTAAAGGATGTTATTGACACATTGAAAATTCAAATTCATAACTGAATTCCTTATCTAGATTTTCTTTTAAACAATATTTGCAGGCCTGTTCCTTTTTAAAAATCTGTGTTTATAATTTGAAAATAACTTTTGTGCTCAGTCTTGGTCTTATGATGTGGAAATCTGAATGTGAACCTACTTTTTCTAAGTGCCTAAAAGTTTTTAATTGTTTGTTTTATTTGAATTTGTAATTGTAATCTCTAGTAGTTGTGTTCCCCTCCCCGACTGCAGCCATAGTTTTGGGATCTGTAAACAGAATACAAAAAAGTTTAAGAAGAAAACTATGAATTTGTGCCATGATAGATGGTATTGCTTAAAGTAAGCTCTTGAGAAGTTGAAATTTAAAAAACTTTTCTTCAGTGTTCAGGTTATACTAACAACAATTGAAAATGTGAAATGCTTTGAGGAAAAGATATTGCTGATGGATGAATAGAAGGTTTTTTTAGGAAATGCAGTGTGTAAATGGATATCACTGCACATTATCACCTTCTTTCTATTATTGAAAAAGCCTAATCTGAATTTCATTAATTTTTCTAGTCAGATCTAGAATTTTCCTGGCAAGCCTGTTTTATTGTTGAAGCTGCACATCAAGGTATTTTTACAAAAAGCATTCAGCAATCAATATGAAAGGAATCCACATCAGCATAAAGTGAAAAAAGAGGGCACACCAGTTTTATTACTGTAGAATTTGAATAAAATTATAGATTCCAAAGGCAAACTATTACAAAAAGTTTGATTGGAACTAATATAAGTAAATTTTTAGGAATGCCAAAGGCTTCAAATAAATCAAGTTAATCAGCTAAAGGTTTTGTGGGTAGTTTTAGCAGAATCAGAACCTATGCCAAACTGTGGATTCTTGTATTATGTGTCCAGTAGATATTTTGGCAAAGAAAAGAAATCTGTGCGTGCAAATCTACATGAGGTTTGATCTAGATCATAAATAACAAGCACATAGTTCCAACTAGTTCGAGTGAGATTAGTTTTTTTAAGCTCTAATCAGTGGAGTGCATGTTATCCAGAAATAATTCCTACTATTATTGACTCTCACGCTTACAGAAAATACAAATTGAAGGAATTAGGAATTCTTTTATTGAGACTAATGATATAACTCGGTATTTTGCACAATAAAAAAGTTAATCATGCTTCTCTAAAATCTTTTGGATTTAATGCCATTTTATGAAGCAGAAGTGTGTAATTTAAAAAAAAAATTTTTTTTTTTCATTGCAACTTGACACATAAAATATACCGGCCTTTAAAAAAAAAAAATGCATCTTTGAATTCTCAGTACTGTATGAAAAATTATTTTTGTGCATTTTTAGTCTTGTGAAATTATAGGGGGGGGGATTCATGCCCTAAAAAGTGAATAGCAAAATGCAGAGCTTCACTATTTCAATATGAAATTTAACTCAAATAGAAGCCCTGAAATACAGATTCTTTGGTTGCAGGCATAAGTATGTGACTAATGATCTTTTGAAAACTAAAACCTTTAAAAGAAATTTGATTCAAAAACACTGGTGAATAATATTGCGTAGAACCTCATCGAGGAGCATAGATTTAGTAATGAGTTGATATTAATCAGGCAGTGTATGGACTGGATTTTTAAGTCTAAACATGGCTAATTATTACAGAAAGAAATGTTCTGAGATGATTCTTTTGTATGAGAAATAAAGTCACTGGGCAAAATCAATAAAAAGTATTTACTAGCTTCATATGCAAGATATGTTGGATATCTTACAATATTTTTAATAACAGTAGTGTTTGTGTCATTTAATAAAAAAGCAGATTGTTATTCCACATATTAAATTGTATTTACATAGATATATTTTATAGCATATAAAAAAGTCGTTACTGTCAGTGTGTATGTGAATGTGATTGTGTTTTTTAAAATTTGAAGTTAAATAAGCAAATGATTGACATGACTTCATTTTAAAACTATGCATTTACAGATGGAAGAATTATCTTGGGTCTGGATTATATATATCCAGCATAGGAAATGCACATGTGGAACTAACTTTGAAAAATAAATGTGTGGAAGTATCTGTGAAGGATTCGCCAACCATGTTGGGTGATGTATTTGCTTCTCAAGAAGTCACTGACTTGTGTTCTGGACCTTTTACTACAACTTTTGAAGAAAAAAATGGTGATTATTTTTCTTTAGTAAACATTCTTAATCCATTCAATTTAATTAGAAAATGTACCTATGTTAATTTTTTTAAAGTTCTTTTTAGTAAAAGAAAGCTGTATCAGAGTGCATTGCAGTCGCTTTGCCACTTTTAGCTTTTATATCCAACATAGTCTGAACATCTAAATTCTAGGTCTTTAATTTTTCTAATTTTTCTTTGTAGCATTTAAGCTGTTCAAAAAGCATTACAAGCTCATTTATCAGTAAACTAATTAAAAATTCTAACTTCTTAACCCCTTCACGCCGACGTGCCAGCAACGAACACACTCACCTACCGGCCGACACGCAGGCGTGACAGAGCATTTTCCCGTTTACTACCGACTGTCACGTATTTGTGCCAGTGTCCTGGAATGATTTTCAAACTAGAATTTCTGCCACAAGATGGCACTGTATGTCCATATGGTTTCAGAGACTTGTACTTTAGACCTTCTACTCAAAATGAGAGAAGCATGACTCGCATACATGTGTTTTTGATTATATAAACAAACGGGGAACTAAATGTTTCTGAATGGCGTGATTTATGACGTCTCTTTAAATCGCACTTTATTCGCACGTGGTAGTTTGTTATTGTAAGTAGAAGTTTTATATGCGCTAAAGCGTTGAGTATTTCGGCTTACAGTTCAGTTTTTAGAAAATAATTAGATCGTGTTAGACGTGAATTCTTTCTGTTTTTACTGTTGCAATGTCGAAGCGTTGAAAATGTTTAACAGAGCATGAAATAGCAGAAATGATGCAAAATATTTCAGATATTGATTCTGAAATTCTGATATTCTGTTATTGATTCTGAAAGATTAACTGAAAGACATTTTACCAAAACTTTGTTCAGAAGAGACTGATAAGAAAATGAGACGACGATGCTTCGTCTGTTCACATTCCCGGAAAAATCCTCCAAAACGGCAAATGAGTTATTACGTGTTCAAGGAATGTAACGTAGGACTGTGTGTAGATCCCTGTTTTCAAATTTTTCATATGAAAAGAGAATTTAAGTAATATATTTAGTTTTCAGATGTATAAAGTTAAAAGTCATAAAATGGTGAGTAATTAAAATAAAAGTGTAAAAATGCATTTAAACAAGAAATAAGGTATTAAATAGTATATATATATATATATATCTATATATATATATAAGCATAAGCCGTTTAAATACTCTATAAAGCATTATTAAACAATGCGTTGAGACTTCGGAAATTTCATGGATTTAGGCTTAGTAGCAAAAAAGCCTCCGGCCCTGGAGAGACGCTCGTGGAAGACACTGCCGGCCTCCGCGATAAGCGCGTTTCCGCTACCCGGCTTGAAGGGGTTAAAGTTCTGTTGAATTGTGATTGTGAAACATCATCTTTTGTGAGTTCATCTTGCATATAACCGAGTTCAATGTTGATTTTTGTTCTTAAGGTAATAACTTAATTCTTCTACTTAAAATCACATTTTCGTATGTTACAGTTTACTGTGGCATGAGATGACTTACATAAATGAATATAGATAATTTTTATTAAAAAAAAAATTAACTTCAGTAACAGTGTTGTTATATTTACTTTACTGGAACAAAAATGTGCCTGTGAGATAAATTATGTGAGGAACTGTGTCACTTTTTTAAAGTTGAAAAGTTTATGATGATTTACAAAAATTTTATTTAAACAAATCTTCATAAAATAAAGTAAAAAATATTGTATGAACAAGAAAGAAATGAAATGACTCATTTTCCGTCTTGTATATGGAAATCTTGAGTTTAAAGAAATTTTGCAAATTTTTTTTTTCCTGGTGCATAAAAACATACAGTAATGCTGTTATTACCATTGAAAGGTGAATTTTTAGTTATAAAAGTTATATCTGTTCATTTAGATAAGTCATCTGATGTCTAGGTAAACTGAAACAAACAAAATTTCTTTTTAATAAATGAAATAGTTTTTTTGAAGAGGTTTATATTCTGTTTCTGTAACCATATGCTTAGGAAATGCAAATAAAACTATGGAATTTAGTTTGCTATTGTTATGTTATTGTTATATATGTTGACTCGTCAAACATAGATAAATTACTGTTTATTTATAAGATTAAATTAGATTAGTTTATACATAAGAGAGACATTGATGCTACATGTTTGGCGACAAGTTACGAGAGTGTGACGCAGCACAAATATCGGGCACTTGCCTACCTAGTCAGGTTAGAGGCACTGCCATCTATCGGCAAGCAAAGTAATTAATATCAAACATGCCCTTTTTATTTATAGAACAAGACTAGTGCATGTTACTAACTTAGTACAATAATTATTTTACACCATTACTTACTTAGCAGTTAAGAAAACATTTTGACATTAAATTATTACTTAATAGTTGACTTTAAAGAACATAGCAAAATTACATACCTTGATGACTCACTTACATCTTTAAAATTAATGACTTTAATTAAACTGATATTTTAGAGTTCTGAACAGTTCATTAAATTCCATAATTAGTCTATAAATAAAGTATAATTTTTTGGCATCAATAAGTTCTTCCTAATTGTCTCTATATCGAAGAGGTTTTATTCTATTTCTACTTGATCGTCTTAACATTGTTTCAGTTAACACATTTCCTGGAATTTGAGAATGTTTAGTAGAATCACTTTCCTGTTCCTTGGGTGGATCCTGCTTATCATCATCTACAAGAACATGTTGATCCAGTGTTGATTGATCAAGTCCAAACAAATCTTCTGCTGTTCTGTTCCACTGTGTCATTTTACACATAGACTTGTCTTTACGAATGTGATGTCGGTTTCTCCTCTACACAGTTTCATCATTCACTTTTATGACAGATCTTGGTTGAGGACCTGTCTTCATGATCATACCCTGTTTCCAAGGCTCTTTAATTTTCCATTTGAACCACACTTTATCATTTTCATGAAGTTTTGGAAGCTGGGTTGCGTGTTCATTGGCATATTTCTTTTGTACCATCTGCATTTTTTCTAAGGCTCTACTTGCACCTTTCAGTTGCAATGCTTTAGGATGTAATGGCAGAAAAGATCTGTCTTCTTCCCATTAATAATTCAGCCGAGATGGCAAATTTTTTGCAGGTTGAATAATCTATAATCTAGCAAAACAATATATAAGTCTTTTCCTTCTTCTGCAGCTTTGCTCAGAGACTTCTTGAGAGTTTGGACAGATCGTTCAATTTGCCCATTTGCTCTAGAAAAAATGTGGTGATGTGATGTTATGCATAACATCCCATTCTTCAAAGAAACTTTTCCAGCAGTGCTTCCGAGTTGTATGGTGGTCCACCGCATCAGTGATGAGCTTCTCTGGTATTCTATGTGTTTGCAAAAATGGACTTCATAACTGTCATTACAGCTTGAGCAGTTATAACTTTTAAGTGGTTTCAGCTCTACATATTTTGAAAAGTAAGTCTATCATTAACAGATATTGTTGTCCTTTCAGGTAAAAGAAATCACAGGCAATCAAGTTTTTTGCCAGGGTCTCTCCTGGTAGATCACAGTCTAAAAGAACTTCTTTCTGATTAGCCTGTTGATATTTCTGACATATCACACATTTGGATAACATATTCTTCCACATGTTTGTTGATGTTCGTCCAGTAAAAATATTCTCTAGCTTTACTAGAAACTATACCTTTGTGAGACACATGCAGGTTTTTCATAATTACTTTCCTTTTCCAAGAGATGCTGGCACAACTATTTCGTTGTCCTTGACAAATTATTCCATCCTTTGTTGTATAAAGCTCTTCCTTGCAATGCCAGTAAGGTTGTGCTGCTGGCCTTGTTTTGCTTCTTTCTGGCCATCCATTTTTGATATGAAATAACACATCTTGCAATTCAGGGTCCTTTACTGTCATTTTTACAATTTCCTGCCATTTTGTTGGAGAGGCTTGTGTTAATAGACTTACATTAACAGTAGGTTCTTGACTGAAGGTGTCATCAAAGGTGTCAACAGTTGATTGTGCTCTAGACAGGGCATCAGCTATCGGCAATTCTTTTCTTGGGACATATTCCAATTTCAAATCATACCTGCTCAGTTTGAGGAGCATGTGCTGAAGATGAGGTGAGATTGTATCGTAAGGTTTCTTACTAAGACCTAGTAATCGTTTGTGATCAGTCTGCACTGTTACAGGTCTTCCGTACATATAGTAGTTGAAATGTTCTAACCCATATATAACTGCTAAGAGTTCTTTTTCAATCTGCGCATACCTTTGCTGCATTTCTGTCAATGATGCTGATCCAAAAGCCACAGGTTGATTATTTTGTAGGAGAACCTGCCTCCAATTCCATATTTACTGGCGTCTACTGACACAGTTACAGGTTTGCTTTCTCATCAAAACTACTGTAAACATGGGGCTTGCACAATCATCTGTGTTAGGTGATGATTGCTGCATAGCCCCATGTCTCTTTGGATGTTTTCATCCCATAACCATTCGCTATCTTTTCTGAAAAGTTTGCCTTAACGAATGAGTTAGACTTGACAACTGAGGTGTGAATTTTGCTAAGTATGTCACCATTCCTAGAAATGGCTGCAAGTCTTCTCGGCCTTTTGGTTCTGCAAACTTTTCAATCGCTTGGATCTTCTTTGGATCAGGTGCAGTGCCTTTATCAGATAGTACAGGTCCTAAATAAGTCACAGAGAGGTCCGAGATAGCTGTGTCTTCTCGTTGTTAAATTTTAGATTAGCACTTCTGGCTATCGTAAGTATCTTCCGCAATAACTTGCAATGTTCTTCGACAGATGACGATCCTAGGGCTAAATCATCAAAATATGGATTTATATCATTCTCATTGCTAAAACTCTCCTCCATGGCCCTTTGAAATTCCTCAGGTGCATTGTTCAGACTGAAAGGAAGAACCAAAAATCTGAATCTTCTCCAGGGTGTTGTAAATGTTGTCAAGTATGATGACTCCTCATCAAGCGGTAGTTGCCAAAATCCATTCTTGGCATCCAAAATGGTAAATATTTTACATCCCTTGGAGTTTTGTCATAAGGGC